ATACAAGTTGCAAGTCTGCAATTATTGTAGGTCTACAAACGCCTGATGAAACGAACCACAACAACAACGCATGAATGCAACACGTTTGTCTGCGAGCGGCGTCAGGCGCTCCTCGCTGTACTCTAAGTACTTCGGTCACTAGACTAAATGTTGCAAGAATCTAAGAGGACTCGAAACATTTCGGATTGTATCAGTAATTTATCAGCCAATAATTACCACTAAATGAAACCCATATTGACATAAGGTTTATTAATTCTATTTGAAATTCACGAAATGCCTATAACTTGTATTAATAAAATATTGTGTGAAACAGTAATTAGTTAATGACGCATCTACAGCTCTGGAGATAATTCATTATTGATGAGGACGACTAATCAGCCGATGGACTCCCTTATCAGTGGCCTGCAGCCGTGATAACAGCTCACTCTGGCTTTGCTCTGCTGCTGCTCCATACTTCGACGCAGTCTGTGTTTTGGTATGCTTTTAACTGAATCACTAACTGTGCTCGTTAAAAAAAAAAAAACACACACACAACCTTGGCCAACGTGTAATTAGGTCATAAATATTTGGTTGTGTGGAAAGTAATTTTAATGAATGGAAATATTAAACTTAAACAATAACCAAAATTGATCTAAGAAACCTACTAATGACGACACTTCAAAGAATTCCAAGTTTCTTAGAATTATACATGCTGAAGGATTTAGCATATTATTTGAAGCTGTAAACATTCATATAATAGCGATTGGGGATGTACAATTTTAGACAATCGTGGTGTACATAATATAGCATTGCTTCATTTTATTGGTTGTCAATTTAATCGTTTTTGTTGATCAAGTTAATGTTACTGTACTTTATACAGTCGATGCAGTTTTTAAGTTTTAACGATTGCACCCGAACTACAAAAATTGCATTACTTTTGACTGGATCCGAACTACAAAAACTGCATTACATATGATTAGATATCCAAACTACAAAAACTGCATTACTTTTAAATGGATTACACACTGTACTTGATTACAATTGATGCACAACTTATGCACCAATAAAATAATTTATTTATTTATTTATGCGCCTTAATTATTGTGTAAGGTATTGAATACTTACGGAGGTTGTGCGAATGAATATTTAGTGTACAGGAGTAATCCCATCTTTTAATGTATCGGATTACAAATTTATGTCTTGAATTGATCTCATAGATCTAATAGTTACAGTACTAATGACGACGAATCTAATGGTCGTCAGTTTAAGGATTGGAGGGAAATGTGTACTATATGATCGATTTTGTAGTGGTATTTTCTACAAAAGCATCTTCTGTATCCAATAGTCAATGATAGCATATAACAATTTATATTCTTTTTTTTATTGATAAATCGTTGAACGACCCAGATTTCAATTGTTTCTACATTGGTACTTTATTGGGCATCTGACAGTGCCACTTAAACATTTCTTACTTCACTCAAATAACTTGCATTAGGTGGTCCATCAACTTCTCGGATGGACGTAAAATTCGTACACGTTCGTAGAATTCCTTTCGTGGTATTTTCGCCAGTGGCTGATAGAAGTGCATATCCTCTGTGTAGCAGTAGTTTGAGTAGGCAAATGTAAGAACGATCTGTTTATGTATTTATAGGATTTACGTGTCTACTTACACGTTATAAACTTATTTTTTACAAATAATTTTAAATCAATAAACAAAATCAATCTATGAAAATGCCGTTTAGATAAATAATTTATTCGTTGTAGGTTGTAGTACGGTAATATATTCCAAAACAACAATTTACACGTGTGATACTAATTACGATTTTGTTTCCATCAAAGGTTCTTATTTCAATACGACAGTTATCTTTTTCTTTTATTAGAAATTTTTAATATAAACATAAAATGTTTTGACATTATTATGCAAATAAAATAGGAAAGGAAATAACAATATTTTAGGGGTAGAACATAAAGCTTTGGGTTGAAAAGTCTGGGACTATGTTCCGCCACAGTTTGCCGCAAGCTCGCAATAATTGTCAAACTTTTGGTGCTACCTGAGTTACCGTTTGTCCTCCAACTAATGTGTTTTGTTCCTCTGTTGATTTCCTCAATGCATTTCCAATAGATTCTGTTTTTAAATATACTGTAATGTGTCAAATCTTCATCTCGTTTCATACTGAACAGAGTCTTTTCCACTAGACAATATTATTTTAGGGTTGCCTTGTAAAAATTGTATATCCATCCTTAACAAAATAATAGAGTCTTCAAATATCTATTCTTGATTTATGAAGGTAAGTAGCATATTTGGTAAATTTATAAATGAGGTTTTATCGTTTTACTATGTATATTTTTATGAATATCGATTCATGCCCAAGATAATTCAAGACTTCATACTTTGTGCTATTTAAGTTAAATTGACATTAGAATGTAGTTGCTGCAAATACATGTGATATTTTGTGATAAAGACATTTAAATCAATGGTCGTAAATAAATAAAAGGTATGATAAATATGTTAAAAGCTTCGATAAATTCATCAAACGCAATTTTTTTAGAAGAGTTATGCGTATGGATAAAAATCATGTGTATGCATAATTATCTATACAATTTTATAAAGAAACCAATCTATTATATAAATAAGTGCTGCATTTCTTAGTAATCATTGAAAGAGCAGATTTGCAAACTATGGAAACATAGGAAAGTCATAGAACACCACCAATTTACGTTGGATCATTCTATGTTGGATATAGCTAGGTTTATTAGATTTACATAGAAATGTGTTATATTTATTAAATGTGTGGTAAATTAACTTATGAACGAATCCACGCTGATCAATAATCCAACGATTAAACCATTCACTCAAATACAAACTGTTCCCTCACTGATATATTATTTTGATAAGATATTTCCAGTTACATAATTATAGGTGTAGAATGTGCATTACTCCACCTAATAATGGAAATTATTTGTTTTCTTGTACCGTTGAAATAATTAGTAGCTGACAATAACATTAGTTATAAGTCAACGTGTGCTTGTACCTTTCGAGGAATCTAAGGGAGAAAACTATTTTTTTCCATTTGTGTTTAAATTACTAATCTACAAAGTAACGACAGTGTTGTTCAGTTTTGTAATTCCAAGTGTTCGTCGCCCGTCGCCCTCGATAGAGCAGTAGATGAGAGGAACGGTTTCAATCAAACGCCTCGACCTTGTTATTGGAGTGCAGCCCCACAAATAATAGATATCGTTGTAGAGGGTGGGGTGGGGTGGGAGGATGGCTCTACAAATGCCAGGGCTTGTAGTCGTATCATCGTCTGTCACTTGTTTACCACTGAACTCTACAACTTATCTCTAGTCAGGCCTACAAGTTACTTCGACGTGTCAAGTGCCAAGCGGACAAAGTTCAAGTAAAAAGTATTCGTAAACTATATGGTAAATTTATCTGGGTTTGGGTAGGGCATTGGTCAAGGAATTCTCCAAAAGTAATTATTTTAAATAGTATTTGACCAGACATTTGAAATCAATAACACTCACTTTCACAAACTGAAAATATCAAATTTTCTAGAAAACTATTATTCGTGATCTTTATTAATTTCAAAATGCGTTAGTATTTAATCAATCATACTATAGCAATTAAGTTTTAACCAATGATTTTTACATTAGGGAATTGTTGAAATAGCGTGGAGTCCCCTGTTTTAATAAATTAAATTGATACAGCAGGCCTAATTGTGAATAAATTGGGTGGTCCCCACAAAATTTACTCAGCAGTGCATATGCTTTCTAGATAGTTCATTTTTATGCTTTAAACATTTGTTTTCACCACACTATGATGTTTTTGGCTGTATTACATACGTTAATTGGTGGCTAAAAGTTACGTTTTGCTGGCCATGCCAGCTGTCATCGTAATTTGGGGACCGAGGAGGTTTTTACAGCCCGGGGCCGCAAAATCAGCTGTCCGCTTACTTTCCTAAAACATTGATGCATATTAAATACACAATCAGTATCCATAGATTTGCAATAGAATTTTGTTATTGTCACCGTTGCCTAGCAAATATTTATTTTTATTTTTGCTGATTCCTCAAATTATTTCTTAACCTTAAAGTTGTAGTTGTGTTGACTATCAGTGTGCATTATTATAGTGGTGAATAGTGGTAATAGGGTATAGTGTGGTGAAAAATAGCGTTCGTACCACGGACCGAAATGGTTTTGTAGCTCTCGATCGATTTAAGTTCTCGACTTCGTCTCGAACTTAAAAACTGTCTCGAGCCGGCAATACCTCATTTTCGGCCCTAGGTACGAAATATACTATTTCACCACACTACGACGTTTTTAGTCGTTTTACGAACGGTAATTGGAGGCCGAAAGCTATGCATTGCTGTTTACCAGCTGCCATTGTCATTTGGGGACCGAGCAGGTTTTTACATCCCTAGGGCCGAAAACCAGTTGTATCCTTTTTTCCTTAAAACATTAATGTATATTAAATACACAAGCAGGATACATATGCATTGCAATTAATAGATTTATATTATTGTCGCTGCTACATAGGCAAGTATATTGTTATTTTTGCTGATTCCTAAAATATTTCACATAGATAACCTTAAAGTTGTAGTTGTTTGACTGTTAGTGTGAAATATTATTGTGGTGAATAGTGGTAAATAGAGTATTAGTGCGGTGAAAAATTTCGTTCGTACCACGGGTTGAAATGGTTTTTTAACCGATCTCGAACCGGCAAAATCTCACTTTCGGCCGTAGGTACGAAATATACTATTATTATCATCTGGCAAATAATTTTCCTGGATCATTTTACGACAGGTGATTTTAATGAATGGAACACGTAAAACATTCCGTGGGACTGTATGTAGATTTTACGGGCTGGTTTAACAGTGGTTCACATCACCTTCAAACCGTTAGACTAGGCCTATACTTTTACAGAAAGTCTTGGTGAAGTATTTAGTTGTTACCGGCGACAGTTGGTCACAATGCGACGCGTCGAGGCGCAGTCTCATATGTTGAGGTTGGTAGCGCCGGAGTGGGGGAAGCGCCGTCTGCAGATGCCTGCCATTGATCGCTTGTTGGCTGCTGTTGCTGTTGCTAGATTAGACCAAGCGTCCATGTTAGTTTTATTGTAGGTTATCGTGGTTTTGTGCGGGATTCTCAAATCCCTCCTGGACTTATAGGTAGTGTATGTGTCTTGTGATATAAGCCGGCTGCATGTGGAGCTCAGGGGCATTTATCTTCCCTCCTCAAGGAGTTTATTACCAGGTAAGTTGTTGTTTTGAATCCCGCTTTTGCAAAACTCGATTTTGCAGCTCGCTCAATATTGTTAAGGGCGAGTAACTTATTTGTTTTTAATTGCAATATATTCTCATCTAAGTGTACATGTTGTCTTTTAGTGTAACATATAACTAACAGTCTTGAAATAACGTAAAACCTGACCCAAAAAGATGATTGCGAGATTGGTGTCGCTATAAATACACGCGTTGAGGTTATGTTAGTGTATTCATTACATGGTGTAAAAACTATTTCAAAATAAATATTCGTATTATTTGATGCCATATAAGTTACCTACAGTTTAATTGGTTATCGTAAAGTGTTATTTTAACGATGAAACCTCTGTTATTTTGATTAGTGCGGACAATGGCCCTGGTCTTTAGAAAGTAGCCATCGCACCAGCCTGACGGATTTCACACTTTAGTCTCGGTCAGTTCCTAACCTAACAAAGCCAGGCACTAGGCAGCCTGCGTCGCACAAATATGTGGCCTATCCAGTTGAGCTCAATTTTGTGCCTCTGTCCTTGAGCTAAAAGGCGTCAGTCCCTTACGCCCTGTCTAGCCAAGCCTAGCTCTCCCCTGTTTGTGTTTTAGAACCCCTCTCTGGCATAGCGTGAGTTCAGCAGCGCTCAGCTATATTTGCATAAAATCGATCTCTCAATTATTAAGATACAGTAGGTAGGTAGCATGAAAATCACACTTCTTCTGAACGTAAAACTCAGAAAAAATGCATTTGAGTGGATAATGTTCTTTTATGTTATTTGGTATCACAATTCTGGGCCTACATAATAAACCTACCTACATAATAATGTAGCCAATTAGGCTACTACGCGATGTGAGCAACATATTAAAATAAAGATGTCCGTTGGGAATACATAAATAAATAATATTTTTAGTAGTCTAGCTAGCTATGGAGAAAATATTGATTTGTTCAATTTAAACTATGAAAATACTGTTTAATACCAAATAAAATGTCTAACTTATAAGTAGACCTAGCCTATTTATTTGTAATTGCAACTAATTAGTATATTTAAATATGTAACCAATATAGTGTAGGTTAGGTAGGCCTAGTTATTGAATCATCTTAACTTAAAAGCCTTGTCGGACGATTTGAAGTGTCTCATCAAAATAAATCAATATCGGTAATTTAGTAGCCTAGGCCTAAAAAAGAAAGCAGTTTTTGTTAAGAGCGCCACATAATTAATTTCAGGAAAGACAACAAACAATCTTCCAATGTAAAAAAATTGTAATACCGTTAAGAAAAAAATATTTTGGACCGTTCAAAGTAGGCTATCAGAGCTGGATTTTTAGGATAGGCGTTATGATCCTAATATCATTAATCCGGATTTAATGTAGGAATACTAAATTAATTTTCTAAATAACTCGCATACCCTACAACGTGTCGTCGGAAGGCTTCAACGACCTTCGCTTTATCCCAGTCCTTGGCAAGTCCAGAGGTCTAACATGTCACGAGGGAATTGTAATGTCAGGGTAAAAGGTGCCTCTTCAGACTAAATTGTCAGGTATCATACGGCATTCGGCATGAGGTTATTTTTAATTTATTTAGCATTTTCAAATGTTGTTGTCATAAAGTACCGTAAGCTATGCAACTCACATTTAGTAAAAAAATTCTCTGAAAAATACACATTTGTTTAAGTTATATTTTTGCTTGTCTCGATTAAGTTATAGAAAGTACGATACGTATTGATATAATTTACAAACCAGGTTATTGACGTTTGATAATGCATCACGGACCTTCTATTCCGTTATTTTCAATTAATTAAATCCCTCCTGTAAACAATGTTAAAATGCGAAATTAAGATGTACAAAAGGATGACTTCTATTATTGTAGCTGCTACATAGGCAAGTATATTGTTATTTTTGCTGATTCCTAAAATATTTCACATATGTAACCTTAAAGTTGTAGTTGTTTTGACTGTTAGTGTGAAATATTATTGTGGTGAATAGTGGTAAATAGAGTATTAGTGTGCTGAAATTTCTTTCGGAAGTGAAAACAAATTATAAAATATCGTATAATAAAGTTTTACTTTGAGTTTATTTTTTTTATTAAATTTAAGAATCAAGTCATTTACAGTACGGTACCGGTAGACTATACAGTAGGTCATTAATGAATGATCGGGCACTACCAGTGTCGTATATTTTTCCCCTTATCAAACGAAGCAAAGTAAAATTGTAATGAACTGTCAGTAAAGTATGTTATTCTCTTACATGCAAATAAAATTTAATCAAGAATTAAATAATATATCTAAAAACAAAACAAAATCAGAGACTCGATTGTCTACCTAAAATGTTGACCTAATTTGAAGAATTTACCACCTAAATAATAGTAGTATTATAAATATTTTTTTTTACGCATTAAAGGGGTTTCTTTTTTTTAGGCAGTTCAAATTGCGCCTGGAGTTATCGAATGCATAAACCAGCTTATTTAGCGTCTTGAGCAGTTTATCATTATCGGTCGTGATCCACTCTCTTTGCTGGATCAATCTGCTGCTGCTCTCCTGGACAGTTTAATCGACGGACCGATGCTCTGATCTACCGTGATCGAAGGTCTACATCCCGAGCTACGTTTCTGTTCCCAGTTTATTGGTTGTAAACTCGACAAGCAATAACCAGCTGCTCCAGCCAGTGGTCCGCCAACTGTATGTTGGCTTTAAAATTCCGAATCATCGAACGCTCTAACTTTAACCAACCTCAATTTGCATGTCTCTGTTTCACTGAACTTTATTGGGTGCTAAACCGCACCCGCCTTTGGTCCTTTTATACCAGATGCTTAAGATTGCATCCGGTTTTCTGAACTTCAGAACCCTTTTTAATAAAAACAAGCAGTTAAAATTTTGTGTTGTTTCTCTCATCAGTGCACTTAAAAGTCACCTCTGTCAGACTATCTAATTGACTCCAAGATTTAGCTTCAGTAATATGTGAACAAGAATAGATATTAGAAAGTGAGGTAGCCATATTTCCCGGTTTTATCGCGTACAGTAGTTTGTAATTCCCGGCGATCGGCGAGGACAATTGTTGGAATTTTATACGGAAATTCATTTCCTTTAAATATTTTTTATCAATTCTCACGGTCAGTTTGTACAATGAGAGTGAGAACGCGGTTCACGTAGGATCCCACACACATGTGTGAACCGACACAGGAAATACACTACTGTAGTAACCCACATGCCTCTATGCTGCGTCTACTACATGTACAGTCCCGGCCACGTAAAGAGAGAAAATGTCCAGGTAGACCCGGTCAGGCCTAATCCGCCGTTGTCAAAACATAGCTATTGTTTTGAAACCGAGGGGGCGCGCTACCCCATCCCAGCGGTCATTGCTACTGCCTCCCTTTAATTCTTAGAAATAACTCGGGGCAGTACAAATTCTATAAATCGAACGGGTGATCGCCTAAAATTAAGTGACAGGTCATTTTATTCACAAAGTGAAGACGAATATCACAAAATTTGAATCACAATTCTACGTCGCTTCGTTGATTGGCTAGTCGATGTTGAGAAGCAGCAGGCAATGACCACTGAGGTAGCAATGACCGCTGGGATGGGGTAGCGCGCCCCCTCGGTTACAAAACAATAGCTATGTTTTGACAATGGCGGATTAGGCCTGACCGGGTCTACCTGGACATTTTCTCTCTTTACGTGGCCGGGACTGTATATGATGGTACGGTTGTATCGATGGTGACGGCCAGGTCGCTGCCGTGTGACGGATGAGTCAAACATGGCCTCTATCCATCACAACCTGTGTCCATATCCGAATTTCCGGCAGCCATTGTTCTCCGAACGCTGATCGTGTGGAAGAGGAAAACTGTCAAATTATCCCAACGTTAAGTTTGACAATTTGATTGCGTTACTTTGTTACTTAAAATATAAGAAATTAATATAGAAAATATAAGAATATATGTCTAGGATGAAAAAAAAAATATCTGTCGAACAAATTATTTAAGGGTAAACAAATATTTGTGTAGATTAATATGTTAAGAATGACTGGAAATCTCGAAATCTACCCCTGGAAATGTTTTTTAGAACGATAAACACTAGGTGGCCCCCATTTAACAGTCAGGGATACAAATATAGCATGTCATATGCTTTAGGACGGCACAAGAAAATTTTTTAAATCACGATACTTCCGGAGTTTTTACTAAAAATGTTAATACAACTAAAAATCGAATGCACGTCGCTTTTTTGCTTTTAATCGGCGGGGGGATAAAACCTTATGATAGGGACGTCAACGCCACTGACATGTAAATACAGCAGGTTATTCACAGCGGCTGCTACAATGTTAACTCTGGAATCAATTTGAGGACATTACCAATCATCTTGAAACAATAATTGCTATATGATAATGCAGGGACCGGGTGGGTTGGAGCCCCTAACATCTTTTACTGTACATTCTATTAATTCCATACGCTTTACAAACTCAGTTTATCGGAGGTAATTCCCCTCCAACAAGTTACGTAATGATTAAAAGTACTGTTACCAGTTGTTGTTAAAGAAAATCACCTCTTTTCACGTATTTGAAAGTTGTGTTTTAAATGGCGTCCGCCGCCTTCGCAAATGAGGCGTCGCATTGAGATGTTAATGTTTAACTGTAACTCGCCATTTCCGCTACCGTGTAAAAGTTCACCAGTCATTCAGCGACTTTCTTATATTTACACTCGTGTGATCTACTTTTTGGAAGCTTTTGGAAATTTTAATTTTTGCAAATTAACGTCTGCTGATGTTGAATGCACCTAACTCTTGAACTTTGGGTTTAACTTGCTAGCTACAGGGTAACGTAAATTATAATAATGATGCTCCAGCCGCTTTTAAAAGTTAGTTTGTAGAGTTTGAGTTAGTCAATGTGTTTGTGCAAACATACAATCGACAGGTACTTGTCAATTCCATAGTTCGGTGTTGACTCCAGTGTAATTTATAATGTTGAATATGTAATAGGCTATAATAAGGTGGTTAAATAGTTTGGCACGTCCCAAATTAG